ATTTCCAGCGGGATCATGTCAGGCGTTGGGAGAAAGTTGCGACCTGCAGACAAGCGAAACTGCTTATGAGAGGGCAACTAAGAGTTAGGACCAGAAAGCTTCTGGAGTTGCACAGAGGGGATCTGAGGGTAGCAGTAGGGCTCCTTACGGGTCATATAGCTCTCAGAGCTCATCTGTTCAAGATGAAACTTGCAGAACAAGAAGACTGCAGACTGTGCGGAGGCGATAAGGAGGGCGTCATCCACATTTTATGTGAATGCCCCCTATTAGCACTCCGTCGCTATAAAATCTGGGGCCAGGCTTTCCTGGAACCAGAGGACTTACAACAAGTGGCTGTCACCAGCCTTATTAGCCTAGTGAGAAACACAGGGCTGGGTGTGTGACTGACCGAAACTAAGGCGGAAGTTACAAAAGATCGTATGATTTAGGTGACTCTGGGCGCTTTAAGTGACCAGCCGCACTTTTTCTATTCTATTCTATTATCATTATTTCAAATTTCTCCATCCATACTATTTCGATTTTTTTAAACCAGGCTGTTATTTTAAAACAAAGGTGTGAGCCTTTTCGGTAGAAGCCATCTGACTGTTTCCTTATCTTACAACTCTTTTTCTTTTTGCTTACGAAGGAAGGAAGCATTATTTTTGGTCGATTTTTCGATTTTCTATTTTTGTTTTCATTTTTACCAATTCCATTGGTAGTAAGCTTTCAAATTGATCTGTACCAATTTCTATTTCAAAATATGAAAAAAACAATCTCGTTCAGTTTAGATATCAACAATGTCACCACAAAAAATCTGCCTATTGACCTATTGTCCTCACCACGGGAGATTAAATAAAGGAACCTCACTCATGTGCTTACACAATCCTCGCCTTCGGCTCGGGTGGTAACTCTGCACGTGGGCACGACACCTTTATTTTCTTTCCCTAGGTAGAGAATATATATACTATTTCTCCCCGGCGAGCGCAAAGTACGCATTTCCCTCCCACTGGGCACAACGCAGGGCGTGCGTCAAATTTCACTTTATGCACAAGTGATGAAAAAATATTTTTCAACAACTGCAATCATTTTCTAATTCAATAGTAGAATTAGAAAACAATTGAATCTGTTTTGACGATCGAAGATGATCCCTTCTGCGTCACCCCCCCCCCCCCATATAAAAAAGCAGGTCTTATTGAGAAAACAACAAGAAAGATTTTCTCACATTCTTCCTAACATCACCCTTTTATAAAATGAACAAACAATAGATAATAGTCTTTAAATTGACCTATTATATACCTCTTCACAACTGAATTAAACTAGAAAGAGAAAGAGTGTTCTTACTCTCGACCTTCTTTTTTCATAGTTCTACACTCCATATTCTCCATTCGGGAATCGTGACCTCAACCCATAAAAACCTTGAAATTTTCGGACACCCTGTATAGTCCATACGCAATAGCCCTTCCCGTGTGCACTAAAAGGGCGGAAGAAGATCACTGTGTTTTCTCATGTTGTTTGGCTTGGAGAAACCAAATTTGTCAGTGTTTTTTATATGAGACTGTGCATCCAAAAGTTATTGACAATTCAATTGTTTAAACCGAGTTTGCTGAAGCCTATTAGAGATACAGGAAAATAGTTCCAACAAAAGATGTTCCTTTTGTAAAACTGAACATATTTGCTGTTATCGATTTCTCCCGTGTCTCGATTATTTTTCGAGATATCCGGGATTCAAATTCCCCGTGGAAATGCATGGGGCACAGTACCCCGCAACGTCCCACTCTGCCCCGCGTCGCTCAACGGAACGATTCGTTTGACTCTCAATATTTCGCTGAATAATTTGGATAAGAAAAAAACCATCAGATGAAATATGTTTAACTCAACGAAAGCAAGATCTTTTATTCGAAGTATTTTTCTTCATGTCTCATAGTTGTCCCGCGAACTCGGCTTAAGCAATTGGATTGTTAATACCTTTCAGATGCACGGTCGGAGAGAAAAAACATCAACAGATTCGGTTTGTTCAAGCCAAACAACATCAGAAAAAACGATGATATTCTTCCACCCTTTTAGTGCACGCGGTAAGGGGGTATTGCGTATGGACTAGTAGGGATCAGTGAGGTACGCTCCAAGGACATTCGATAAGTCAAAGTATAGTCCGAGTGCAGGCGCAAACTTTAGCGAGTGACTGTACACCGCTCGCCACATTGGCTGCCTTCGAAAGTAAACAACGGCGGAATGCTGCAGTAACCGGCGTTTTAATAAAAAATAATAGAAAGAACAAGAGAGTGTAAATAAAAAACTGCAGAGAACTTTTATACGAAAAATGACGAGAAATTCAAACAAAAGCAAAGTCACTGCTGGTGGCAAATTGTTAGTGGCTAATGATGTTCCGATTGAAATTCATCTCGATGGCTTCCCAGTTTTGGATTTTCTTCGTACTTCCAATGTGATAAAAGTAACGTAACCAAAATGATTTTTGTTCTTTTATTTCTGTGGTCTAGGATATTTATATCAGTAGCGAAGTCGTAAAACCGCTCAAGTCGATTTTGACTATTGGCCAGTTTTCAGTGAATATCTTGGAATCTAAAGGAGATAGCAAAATTTTAGTTATAACCTTTTTTGTAGAGCCGATTGAGAGCTACAACAGATGTAGTTACGAAAATTTCCCTATCTCTCTTACATTCGGAAATATTCCTCAAAACCTCAACTGGGAGATGAGTCGACTTATATATCAGTCGCTGCTGATATTTATCATTGCTTTTCAGAGACATGGGGGGACAGTGGCACTTCCTGGTGAAAGAACTCTTATTTTGTCAGCACCAGATCGTCCACGAGGCACACAATTCCTTCAATTTGATGTCAAGTGGCTGTATGACAGCATTAAACACAGCAAACGTCAGGACATTGGGAAATATCTGTATGTTGATCCGATTAGAATTTTTTTTACATCCATTGTTCTATTGACTGCATTCTTGACATTGTTTAACTAATTTTCAGGTTTTTAATGCGAGATAACAATAGAATGTAAATGAATTTTTTATGGCGATTGAATATTCAATCTGAATTGCTCTGAGGAATGGAATTTTTCCCATGACATTGTGGTATTCCTATCAAATCTGTTAGCTTACCGGGTAGAATGAAATGTGAGTCTAAAATTTTATTCGAGAGGCCTCTAAAATTCAATTATGCTCACAGAATTAACCATTGAGTCATGATACGAGGGAAAAACTTGTCATTCAAAAATTGCACTTGAATATTTAATGCTCTTTGAAAAATATTCCTCCATTTGTCAGAAAACTTGGGTAGAAACCTGAATATCTGGAGAATGATATCTCTGAGCAATTCCACCTGATTATTCAGAACTCCATAAACACTTTTCTCCTATCGTTAAAAAGACTAGATCTCCAAACCAAATAAAAATTTCTCGTATGTAATACCACAAGAGCTTTAAAATTATCAAGTATTTTCCGATAGGTTCGTTGCAAACAAACGAACGAGTCAAGTTGTTCAGGTTAACAAAGCACGAGTGATTTTTCCTGGAAAATTTGACGAATTCGTTTGTATGTAGGGAACCTTGAGGAAAATACCTAATTTTGAAGCTCGAGTGGTATTCGGAAGAGAATTTTTTCATCTAAATTTCGGCGAAGAGAATTCTGTAGGAAAGTGGTAAACTAGGATAAGTGCAAAAATGGAACTTTTTCAGAAGAGTTAAAAAATTTGACCACGTTGAAAAGAACTTTTCACTCAAGAAATGAAAAATTTTTCAAATAATTTTCACTTATCCTAGTTTACGACTTCACTACGAAATTGCACTATCGGACAAAATCCATCTGTCAGTTCCAACGAGGGGCTCACTCGACCAGGAAATCTTTAGTTTTTCATATATATATCAACATGAAAAATTACCAGTGGAATTATATAAAATTATCAGTTGAATATCGCGTTGACTATATAAAATAACAGTCGAAAAGTGCAATTCTATTGGCTGAAATTTGTATGGGGAAAATTCTTACCCGAATATTCCATTCCAGACTTCCAGCAGTGCCACTCAACAACAACTCTAAGCAGACCCCCACTTTCGAAAAGCCTTCAGAGGTCCAGATTCATGATTCATGTGAATTTGAGGCAGATCCACGTCAAAACGTCCATTCACACCGTATGCCAGCCTTCATCAACCACACAGAGCAGATGAAATGCAATGATGAAATAAACTCAGACGCTATTCCAGAAGCGAAACAATCAACAAACGCCCTTGGCCACGCGAGTGACGGCAGTTCAGCATTTGTGAATTTCACACGAGACTTTTCGGAGAGCAATAAACCTTCCGTTTTGTTCCCAGAAGTAAAAAAATACAAGAGCCTAATGCCCAATGCTCAGTCAATCGACATCAACATTATCCCTGCGCTCAGCAGAATGGACGTCACAGACGACAACTCAAGGGCTATCGACAAATCAATCAATCATAAAAGAAAGGATATCAGTTTCTTCGATGACATCAATGAAAGCGATGCAGTTGTTAACGGCTGTTGGAGATTCGCCAGTAAGACTAATGACACTGAGAAAATACATGATACGGAAGTCAATTACTATTTTGAAGGGGAGACGGATTCCCCCACAACTAAATCCAGTCATCCTTCGTCTGATTTCAATGACAATGATTGCCAAATGGACGTCGGAATGACAGCACACAATGAATGCTCAGAAACAGTACCGTTGAAGCCGACATTGGATAAGTCTGTGCAAATCGATTCATTACGGTGAGACAATAAGTTACTTCTGGAAATGTCGATGAATTAACTCACCTTGCTCAAATGTTTCATCGAATGACAGACGAACCGATTTCAGTGGGGTAATGACAATTTCTTAAGGTGGTGCATGCGAAACGGTAATTAATGACATTTGCGTGGAATTCGTATAGAATTTTTATAATCATAATTGAATTATCTATGAATTTTTCAATTTTTTTTTCAGATTTCCTTTTCAAGTTATTAACGATTATAGCGATTTTTCTGGTTAGCATGAAACTATATTGTCAGCTCCGATGGTAACGCAGTTTCGTGCTAAACCGAAAAATCTCCATAAGAGCCGATGTATAAGAAGTGACTTCAATCGTTAATAACTTGAAAAGGAAATCTGACAAAAATTTAGGAAAATTGATAGATAATTCAATCGTGATTATAAACATTCTGTGCGAATTCCAGATGAATATTATTATTTACCTTTTTCGCCCGAAACATCTTCAATTGTCCTTAATCAGATTATCATCTATTTTATTCCTCACGTTTGGTGGGTGGAGAATAATGTAGTCGTACATCACTGAATTAGTAATTTAATTAAGTGTTCACCTGCACTCATTCGAACATCTCTTCGTTTTGATGAGATATAAAATTATTGATTTCAGTGATGTGAGATTCTCTCGCGAAGATGATCTGAAAATCGTAAAATACCTGATTGACAAGAATGCAATTTCAAGGATTCAGGGGGCCTCTGTTTGGTTCCAGATGGAGTATGACAAAGTGAGGAGAACATTTCCAGTGGACCATCCCACAAGTTACCCAATTTCATAATCAAATTACGTATTTCAGATTCTACCAAATCGTGCCGCCGCCACTTTGAGATATCGTTTCGAGGAAAAGTTGATAGACAACATCAGTCGATATACCGATGATCCAGTAGCTTTGAAACAATTCAATGCTTTCAAGCCAGGTGCACAAGATGCAAAGGACTGCAGCAACAATTAATCACTGAGATGAACATGCTGGAGATGTTATCGCACGAGATTAGAAAGCTACGAGTAACATAGCGTATAAACCTTTTCGTCACAGCGTGATGAAAAATATTATTCGTAACTCGTGAAAAAATGTTTTTTGGCTCGTGGGATTGTATCACACGCCTTCGGCTCGTGATATAAACCTCCCACTCGCCAAAAAACACTTTTTTGCACTCGTTACGAAATATACTATTTTGCTTTACTCAGATCAGGATTAACTGTTTGCCATACCAGTTGATATTGTTCGTTTTCCACAACTTTCAAGTTTTATAACTGATGATATTGGACTTAATAAAGCCATTATGAACGATTTGAATACTCAATTCAAACTAGTATTTGCCAACAATATTAATTCAGTAGTGAAGCAGGAAACTGGGTTAAGCCGATTTTGACTATTGGCCAGTTTTTGACGAATATCTCGGAATCTAAAAGAACCCAAAGAGAAGATCAAATGAAAATTTAATAAAACAAGAGGAAATCATTATCAATAATTCGAGATCTGTAGAGTTCATATTAGTCAATTTCAAAACCAGAATGGTTAATAACAAACCGCTTATTCATTCCGAAAAAATATGCTAACGAATCGAGAAATAGGATGGAGGATTAGGAGAAATAGGAAGCAATGAAATTTAGAAAAGGTTCCGGATTCAAATCCCGGTTTGGACTATTCATTTTTTTCAGTACAAATTTTCTGGTTATTCATATTGAGAATAATCCCGGGTTCCCTCCTACCTCATCCAAATCCCATCCAATCATTTCCTATGACCTAACATGATGTTAATTAAATATGTGGAACGCTGTATAAATTCACTTCATTAATGTAAAGCAAATAATGTTGCTTACATGATGTTGTGTAATGTTGTTCCCTTCATTAGGCCGGAATTTTTTTTTTTTTGGACTTGCAATAACATTTATTCTGTTTTGAGTTGCTCGAGAATCTCTGAGACTCTCTTGATAAATTATGTCGTTGAAAAAATATTTTTTCGTTTCATTTGAATCATTACAACATCGGTAAGGTAAACGTCCCAATACCTGACTGTGTACCAGTAGTCAAACTTTTTTTAAACAAGAAATCTATTCCCTGAGATTTGTAATTCATTTATTATTTGGTACCACATTTGGCAGCAAATTCAGATAAACAAATTGATCGGATGAAAGTGACTTTTTTTGCCCATCAAAGTCATAATGTTCCATTTGAATGTTCAGTTACTAATTCGAAGCCTTTAGCTACTGGAACAGTCACCTTGTGTGCTTAGAAAACATGCCATCAGACACCGAAATGGGCATTGACTGATGACTAGCCCACTCTAGCATTTTAAACATATTGCGTGTGGGTTTGCTTGAGAGTATGGTCGGTAATTCTCCAACAATGCTCTCAGTAAAGTAGGAATCATTTAACATGCCGATAATCAACTGTAATACTGACAGAGATTCTCATTCTTCATTGCGTTTTCATTCAAATTCTGTTCTTTTTTTATGGTTTAAAGGGCTTAAATCTACAGGATTTATTTACACTATCAGTAATGTTTTATTAACTTAGTCTAAATATTTACACTTTTTACAATCTTTGATTTTAGATATTTAATCTATTATTTATGATAAATTTGTATAGTATTTTAAGGATTTTTGGATCTGTTGTTTTCCATAAGGGGGTGATTGAGTTCGTCAGAGGAAATTTTAAATTGTTTCAGTTCTCTAAAGAGTATTGTCCATTTTTTGCTCAAGGTGGAACAGTGCCACAGAATGTCGTCAATGTCTTGACTTTCGTATCTACAAGCAGATTTCGAATCTTCAATTTTCTGTTCGATTTAGTTTTTTTTTGTTTTAGATTTTTTCGATGTTGACACTCAATAAATCCAAGTGAAGCAATTCATTCCCTTTTAGCAAAATCAAATGCACTAATTTCTGAGACCACAACGTTTTGGATTTTCAAAATACAATAGATTCATTATTCGATTCAATGGGACGGTTTATGTAACAATTTTTTAAATTTCACTCATTTTATGTAATCATAATATAGAGGTCACAGTACATCTATCTATATTCATATCTTCTATATGAGGTATTCCATGTCAAATGAGTCAACGGTTGGCCCTCGCCCTCTTAGAAATTGATCTCGATTTTTTCAACGATTGGTGGGCTGGAAAAGATATCTCTCAATTGTTTTCAGATTTTTTTGACAACCCATTTCGGAGATACGATTATTCTTTGTTTTTTCGTTTTTTTCAATAACACCAGTTTTATTTATCCGATTGTTATTTATGACACTTCAAAATTTTCGATTTTCTACCATCTCTAACAGCGTTTTTCTTGCACCACTTACTGAGTCAGTAAGCTCGCCGCGTTTATCTCAGCAACCAAAAATTTTTGGAGTGTTTCTCGATTTTTTGTTCAGTCGGTAAAACAAGTAACAATGTCATTCACATTGTCACTTGTGGCATTTTGCCAATGCCATTCACAGTGTCACTTGTTTTACCGATTGCCCAAAAAATCGGGAAACACTACAAAAATTTGTTTGATTGCTGAGAAACGCGGCGAGGGAGGATTACGATTCCTTTGGCGCCACAATTTTTTTTTTTATTGGTTTATAGTATAAACCCATATCAGGGTTATTTACACTGTCGGTGAGATCTTATACAATAACTTTTTTACATTGCTTTTTTTTTCTTTTACCCTTTTCTTTTACATTTTGGTTAAATTTGAAGGTTACATTTTATAAAGAATTTGTCTATTGCTGTAAGAGCTTCGGAGTCGGTTGCCACCATAAACTGGAAGGTCCAGTATGGAGAGAAATATTTCAGAGATCTCAATTTAGCCAATAGTTCGAATCTTTGGGAATTCAGAAGAGGACATTGCCATAGTACGTGGTCGATGTCTTGTGATTCTGCCCCGCAGGTGCAGCTTGTATCGGGGATTATTCTCATTCTTTCGAGTGAGGCGTTAAGGTGGTAATGGTCCGCTCTTATTCTATTTACTCTGACAATGAGTTCTCTAGATGATTTATTTCCCTGGTACCAGGGTCGGAATGATTCTTTGTAATATTTGTCGAAATATTGCACGCCTTTTCCTTTTCTTTTTCCAATTTCTTTGGTTTGTTTTTTTATCTTTGTGACGGTGTTACTTTTCTCTTCTGCTTTAAAAATACATTTGAGATCTGTGTATGGTATTCGGTATTCCGTATTCCCATCACTATCTGCGTTGCGCCACTATTTGACATATATTTTTCATCGTGTCACGGGACCTGAAATAGTACATTACATGCCCGAGCCAAAAGTAAGAACCATTCATGGGACATGGGTATTTTTTCATGCAAGATTGCCTTCCGAGCCGTAGACGAGGATGGCAAGCACGTGGGGGACGGTGATCTGTTTTCCAAGGCTCGGGCATGTAATGTACTATTGCATACCATTTTTCCTCAGGAATACGGGAAAAATAAAGAAAAAATTCTCTATCAATTAGTTTTTGGGATATAAGAATTCAATGATTATATTTATAACAAAAAAACAGAACTCAACTTTAATGTAAATTTTTTTGTAGGAGATTTATTGATTGAATTTTTTTTTCTGAAAAAATGCCAACAAAATCTGCAACAAAAGGATTTTTAGTCAAAACACATTCAACCAAGGCAGTGTCACCCTTGTAACCCTCGTGACCTTAGCGACTCCTTTTTTTTATGTGACCCTTGTGACTTCGCAACCTTAGTGACTCCCTTTTTGTGACCCTCGTGACCTTACCTCAAGTTGGGAGAGCACCCGATACATAATCGGAAGGTCCCGGATTCAAATCTCAGTCTGGACTTTTGAATTTTCTCAGTAAATTTGTATTGTCAACTAATATTGAGAATTATCCTGGTTCCTCTCATACCTACTCCAAAATCCTGTCCCGTAATATCCAGTGACACCACAAGATGTAGAACGCTATATAAACCTCCGTCTTCTGTGAAGAATCTCTATAATTCAGGAGAAATAATGGAGATGGAATTCTTCTTCTTCTTCTTTCCTTAATGGCTAGAAACCCTTAGTGGGAATATGTGCCGTTTTCTGGAGCTTAGTTGTATTCCATACAGATGTCACTAGAAGATAGCGCGAACATTTTGAACCGAGTTTGAACACTTTGACGTCCTTTTTTTTTTTTTTTCTTTCAACTATTGTTATGAAGAGATATTTATTAAATTGCATTTTTGCCTTTTTGCCATAATATCAGATCAGGTAGACAGAGTAAGCGAGCGAAGAGAAAATATTAGCGCAAGGAGAAGAGAGAGCACTTCCTTCAAATACACCCTTTCCCCCCTTTTCTTTCTCCCCTTAATCCATCCATATCATTATACATTAACCAACATAATTAAACAATATAATATAACAAATGCGTAATACACAGCCAACTCAGATAAACTATATGTACATAATAATTTATTATTTTATTTTTATTTTTTTTTTATTTTTTATTTTTTTTATTTTTGTGTCTAACTAAATTATATTTTCACGTCTTCGTGATCAATAAGAAATTTAACGAAAATCAGAATTTTACTTAAGGAATCTTGTAAGAATATTTTACGCACATCAGAATCAATTTGAATTCCCAATTTTGAAATACTAACGAATAATTTAATTCTATCTACATCTGGGATGTGTTTACAATTCCAAATAATATGATTAATGTCCATTTCGAAATTTCCGCATGAACAATATGGACTTTCAATTATATTCTTGTCAAATAAGTGTTTCCGCAATAAAGAATGATTACTGCGAATCCTGTTGATAATCGTAATTTGATGTCTACTCAAATGAGTCTTATTAAACCAACATTTATTATTAAATTTAGATTGAGACTCAAAATATACTACTCCTTTTTCTTTTAAAGTTCGATTTTTAACATACGTAAATGACAATTCTAATAACTCCTTTTTAAATTTCTCATTTAAATCTGTGCATTGGTACGTTAATTCTTCTTGAATCGGTTCTAACAATGCCTCCTTAGCTAACTCATCAACTACTTCGTTACCTTTAATTCCTTTATGAGAAGGGACCCACAAAAATTTAATTTCCAAATCACAACCTTGCATTTCATTTAAGAGATGTTTGATTTCATATAATAAAAAATCAAATTTATGAGTTACC